AAAAAGCCAGGTGGGTGGCAAGCACCTGTAGTTCTAGTTACTTGGAATGCTGAGGTAGAAGGATTGCTTGAGCCCAGCAGGTCGCGTCTGTGGTAGCCGTGAGCATGCCACTGCATTCCAGCCTGGGCGACAGAGTGAGTCTCCAACTCAAAAAGAAGAAGAAAAGAAAAGGCATATTTCTAGCTGGGCTCAGTGGCTCAGCCTGTAATCCTAGCACTTTGGAAGGTCGAGGCAAGTGGACTGCCTGAGCCCACAGGTTCAAGACCAGCTCAGGCAACCTGACGAAACCTTGTCACTAAAAAAAAAAAAATAATAAAGGAAAGACATATTTCTATGTAGTTCAAAATCTGTAAAATGGCTCTTTTTCTATCTCTATCCCCCTCCTTCCAACATATGTTGACCTTTTCTTGAGTCTTCCCTCCTACTTTCTTCTTCTTTCCTTTATGTTCTCTTTCAACACTAAGCATTTATTATGTAAGTTCCACTTTGCTCTGCATTGCTCTAGATATCTTTGAGAAATTTTTGAGGGGAAAAACATGCCAGAGGCTTTCAAGGAAGATGTCCACAGTCGGTTCTTGCAGGGCAAGAGCTCAGAACATGTTGCAGCTTCTTGAAGGATGGATAGCTCCTGCCAGGGATGGGGGATATAGCCCAAGCAGGGAGAGCAGCACAGAGAACAGGCATGAAGCAACTTGGCTTAGAGAACTGCAAGGAGCTTAGTGTTTCCTTCTCAATCTCAGCGGCACCATAATCTGCCACTTACCACTAAAGTATCCACTGAGAATTATCTTTTCAAAGAGACAGAGTCTTGCTACATTGCCCAGGCTGTTCTCAAACTTTTGGCTTCAGGCAATCCTCCCACCTCAGCCTCCCAAATAGCTGGGACTACAGGCAAAAACCACCACGTGTGGCTCCGAGAACGGATCTTTTATTCAGCCTAATCTCCAATTACCTCATTATGGGTCCAAGACTACTCATGCCTCAGGGCTCCATAGGGCTCACACTCCAGCCAACCATAAACCCTCTGAGAGTAAGACGTGAATCTTGGGATCCTGCCTACATGATTCACTTATTCATCAACACTGCAACATGATAAAGGAGACTCAAAAAGGAAAAGCAGTTGGGCGCAGTGGCTCATGCCTATAATCCCAGCACTTTGGGAGGGCGAGATGAGAGGATTGCCTGAGCCTGCGAGTTCAAGACCAGCCGAGGCAACTTGGCAAGTCCTCATCTCTACAATAAATCAACAAATTAGCCAGGCATGGCGGTGCATGCCTGTAGTTCCAGCTACTTGGAAGGCTGAGGCTGAAGGATCGCCTGAGCCCAGCAGGTAGAGGCTTGCGGTGGCCATGAGTGTCCTACTGCACTCCAGCCTGGGTGACAGAGTGAGATTCCACCGCAAAAACAAACAAAAAAACCACATATCCACTGTAAATTCATTTTCCTGTGTTCCCAGAGCCTTTTTGTCTTTTTTTTTGAGTTGGAGTCTCACTCTATTGTCCAGGCTGGACTACAGTGGTACAATCACAGCTCACCACAGCCTCAACCACCTGGGCACAGGCGATCCTTCTGTCTCGGCCTCCCAAGGAGCTAGGACTACAGGCATTGGCAACTGCGCCCAGCCTCCCAGAGACTTTTGTTTATAACAGGCATGAACGAAAATATTTTAAATAGCTAATGGATATCTATAATGAAACCTCTTTGAGGGTGAGTCTAGATTGACTTTTATCATCTAAACATGATGAGTCATGACTATGTTTCTGGCTACATCTCACAGGTGTCATTATTCAACCCTAAAATTAAACAAAAATATAGGGTGGGTCACGCGAGAAGGGAAGCTGTCCCCTCACACATTTCCACTACCTGACAGGAAACCTAAAAAGACTGTATGCTTTCCTCAAAACTCCTCCAAGTCAGAAGATTACCTCATCATGGGATATTTTCACTGTAGCTATGGAGCTGCAAAGCAGCCCTCTTGTCCTTCATGAGCTATCTGGGGCTCTAGGTGAATCAAGGAAAAGACAGGAATATGAAGACTCCCCAAAGACTTCATAAAAGCACAGGATTAGGACCTCAAACTGGACTGGCCACAGCACTGAGGGAGCAGAGTTGAGCAACACTCACTCCATCACAAGTACTAACTCAGAAGGAGATAAAGGACAGCCTCTAGGCTCATGGGTCCCTCCTGATGATTCTAGTTGCTGCCTCTTAGCATGAATGACAGGAGGATCTCTCTAACCTAGAAAGTCTACACCCTGCAGCATCTTTAAATCAGGGAACCAATCTTCCTCATGGTCTTTTTTCCCTCCTCTATGAATCTAAACTCAGCACGGTAGCCCATGCCTGTAATCCCAGTGCTTTGGGAGGCAAGGCAGGAAGATCCCGTGAGGCTGAGTTTGAGACCAGCCTGGACAAAACAGCAAGATTCTTGTCTCCACAAAAAAATTTTTTAAATCACAAAAATTAGCCAAGTGTAGTGATGCATGTCTGATGTCACAATCACTTGGGAGGCTGAGGCCAAAGGATCACCTGAGCCAGAAGATTGAGTCTGCAGTAAGCTGTGATTATGTTTCTGCATTCCATCCTGGGCAACAGAGCAAGACCCCAACTGAAATTTAAAAAGACCTGGGCAGCCGGGCTCGGTGGCTTAGCCTGGAATCCCGCGCCTTTGGGAGGCTGAGGTGAGTGAATTGCCTATGCCCGCGGGTTCGAGACCCGTCTGGGCAGTGAGACCTCATCTCTACAATAAATAAAAAAATCAGCCAGGCGTGGTGGCGCATGCCTGTAATTCCGGCTACT